ATCGGTTATTCATTATATTTTACTTTTATTACTTTATTATACAGGGTGTTCCATAATTATTGCGACAAAATGATAGGGGTTGTAGAGGGCATCAAAATGAACAATTTTTCCTTATAAACCCCTGTTCGGAAATATGCCGTTTGGGCTGCAGCAAAAAAAAAAGATCAGTTTCTTGAAACAGCTTACCTACAGTAATTGCTCAAAGTGTCCTCCACCTTGCTCAATACACAGCTGTGCACGATTGTTCAATGATCGGCGAACTCTGTGGCATACCCCCGGTATGTCCTGAGCATGTGCGGACGCGGCCATCACTCTTCCCAGTAGCTCTTGTTGGTTGGGAACAGGAGTTTCGTACACTAAAGCTTTCAGATAGCTCCAGATAAAATAATCCAGTGGGGTCAGGTCAAGTGACCGCGCAGGCCAAGGCACAGGGCCACCTCGGCCTATCCACCTATTTGGAAATTTGTCGTCCAAATACTGCCGCACTTGTAAAGAAAAGTGGGCTGGACCGCCATGGTGTTGAAACCACATGTTGGCTCTTATATTCAGTGGCACATTTTCTAATAGTTCCGGTAGCACATGCTGTAAGGATCGACCATAAGCATGCCCATCCAAACGTGGTGGAAGCAGATATGGCCCGATGATATGCTCGTCCACAATGCCGCACCAGATGTTAATTGAAAACTGATGTTGGTCTCTATGGATGGCTATGGCATGAGGGTTTTCTTCATCCCAAATGTGACTGTTACGGCTATTAAAATAACCGTCCTTTGTAAAACAGGACTCGTCAGTGAACAAAACGTAGCGACCAAAGTTTGGTTGCCTCAACTCCTGCTGCAGCCACCAACGACAAAAACGTCGACGCGGCAGATAGTCTGCTGGACCCATGGCTTGGACTTTTAAAAGGTGGTACGGGTGTACGATAACAAAAATGTAAACACAGCAGGCTTTTTTTACAAACCGGCGAGACCATGAAATGTGCTAGACGAACATTTTGCAGCTGGTGAATTTTTTGTTTCTCCTATGAGCTCTTAAGGTAAAATTGACTGTAGTGCTCAAACGGCATATTTACGAACAGGGGTTTATAAGGCAAAATTGCATATTTTTATGCCCTCTACAACCCCTATCATTTTGTCGCAATAATTATGGAACACCCTGTATAGGTTTTTTACGTAATTACCCTGCGGTATGACGACTGATCCTTGTCAGGTAACACTAAGGCCCTGCCATTTACACTCCCTATGATGTCCGAACTGTGTAATACTTGTTATACCGTAGGGCACATGTACAAGAGCTCCAACAGTACCCATCACACAACTTTTATTGTGTAACCTATCTTGTCAAAACTATTGTTTGCATGAAACCTTACCAAACGCAACGTACCTGATTCTTGACGGGCTGTCGCCTCTAGTAGTAACTCTGTGGAATAGCCATGGCTAGAACTGTTTGAAGTCGTTGCAAACACTTTGAACCGAATTTTCCAGGTCTACCGTTTTGTGAATTAATGGACCATACTGAGTGTTGCGTAAATTTGTGCATTAAGTATTGCACACATACATTGATTAACGTATACTATCTGAAGGTACTGTGCCATTTATGTGACGTCAACAGTAGATAATTTATGGATAATATACTAAGTGACATATAAATCCGAACACCCAGTTTAAATGGTTTTATTTTCATAAAATTTTGTATAAGTACTTAATGAAGCATAATAAGTAAATGATAAAAATTTCAAAATGATTGCACTGCTTTAAAGCCCTTTGACCTTTAATAATGTGTGGATGCACCCTGATGTGCTACGCATTCTCCAACGCGCCTAGGCATGCTTCTGATCAGGTGGTCAATGTCCTCCTGTGGTATCTCATTCCAGGCAACCACCAACTCCTCTCGAAGTGCTTCTAGAGTCTGGGGAGGACGTTGCAAATTGAGCAATCTCCTACCCATCATATCCCACTCGTGCTCAATTGGGGATAAGTCGGGAGATGTTGGTGGCCATGGTAACAATGTGACATCATTATGTTAAAAGAAGTCTATTGTGACTCTTGCAACATGTGGTTGGGCGCATTATCTTGTTGGAAAGTTGGATCTGCCAGGGTGTCAAGATAGGGTAAAAGATGGGGTTCTAGAACTTCGTGGACATAACGCTGCGCGTTCATGTTACCTCTGATGAAGATTAAAGGTGACCTCGAATCATAAGCTATAGCACCCCAAACCATAACTCCAACAGTGTGATGAACATGTCTTTCAACAAAAAACTGTGGATTCCTCCTTTCACCACGTCGCCTTCTAACCCTGACACGACCATCGTGCATGCCTAAACAAAATCGAGACTCGTCACTAAAGACAATACTGTTCCATTCCTGATCCCTGAGTGACCGTTATCTGCACCACTCAAGGCGATTACGTCGGTGTTCTCGAGTTAAAGGGAGGACCCAGTGTGGCCGGTATGAAAACAAGCCAAAACTTCTCATTCGTCGGTAAACACTTCGCATGCCAATAGGTCTTCCGTGTTCTGCAAACCATTCATTTGCAATGGACCTGGTAGTGGAGAAACGGTCCCTTAAGGTCAATAATCTTAGGCGGCGATCTTCACGGTCTGTTGTTCTACGGCGGCGTCCAGTGCCCCTTGCTCTTTGCGTACGGCCTTCTCGAAGCCATGGCTGACAACACCTAACCACAGTGTCTTCACTTCTTTGCACTCTAACTGCAATTGCCCGAAAAGAAAGTCCAGCTTCCCGAAGTCCCACTATACGGCCCCTATCAAACGCACTAAGTTGACGAAATCGTACAGGTCTCCGTACTCTAGGCATCGTAACCGATCGTAAAGGATGTCAAGAACCAAAATCCGCCAACGTTGATTCTTTACTGCGGCTGAAATATTCATTTTTAGAGCGTTAGTGAATTAAAAAAAGCAGTATAAAAACCGGAATGTCCAACTGATAAGGCTGAAAATTTTTTCACTTATTATTTACAGTAATTCATCTTACATTCACGAACTTTTATTAAAATAAAACCGTTTAAACTGGGTGTTCGGATTTATATGTCACTTAGTATAATAATAATAATAATAATACTAATGATAATAATAATAATCTTTTATTGGTGTTATTACACAAAACATGCTTACAGCGAGGCTTGGTAGCAAGAAGAAAATAAATGACAAACAATACGAGGTCTGTTAATTAAGGGTCCAGACTGGCAACGTAGTGTTCGATCTGGCATATAACACTGTGTTCATATTGAAAACAAAAATTTAAAAGATCAGTGTCATCACTTAATGAAAAAGAAAAAAGAAAGAAGATGTAGCATTAAATATAACAGTTAAAGCTATAGGATATCCGTGAGGAAATTATGATTGTGGAACTCGTCAGTGGAGGAGAAAGCTTTCGACAAGAGCAAATTTTTCGCAGCATTACTGAATTAATTGTTTGCTAATCTCGGTTCCCTAGGTGAAATATTATAAAATTTTACGCTATGGTAGTTAATTCCTCTTCTCTTGTATCCGCCAGGTAATGTCATGATCTGTCGTTTGATAAGCTCAGCTTGACAAGGATCTCTATATTTTAGATTTGCTATATATCGGATACATGCCTCTGCAGGGAACATACCCTTTACTTGAGCGGAGAGTGGCCCCATGCCAGAAGGGCGTGCGATTATCTCATTTTGATGCTGAAGCACGCATGGTCCCTGATCAACAGGACGTTAAGTGGAACTGAGTGTTTTAAATTGGGAAATAAATAAATTATTCTTTTTTAGGATTTGGTAACATTTCAAAGAGGAACGGAAATACACACCGATAAATTTCACTACGTCTGCGTGGTCACTACTCTGATCAATATTTCGAAGTATGATTGTCATAGATTGAGATTTGTTTGAATTTAAAGTTAATTTGTTAGCTATGAATCAATCCTGAATACTAGATATAATAGATGATGTCTAGCTGTTGATGCTTTTAAATGAATTGTGGATTGAGACTAGAGTGGTGTGATCAGCATAAACAATGAGCTTAATGTTCATACTATTACAAAGGCAATTTGGTAGGTCGTTTATATAAAGCAAGAACAGCAAAGAGTCCAGGACAGATATGTGTGGCACGCCATGCAAAACTGTGCTGACTGTATATTATGTACAACAACTGTATTCGACGAGCTGTTACCTTTGATCTGGATAAGATTTCAGAAGAACTATAACAGAAGGATCAATCGGGTAATATGGTAGTCGAAGACTTTGCTCAGATCGAAGAAATTTGTCAATATATTTCAAAACCATGTGTCAATAAAACTGTTTTTCTGTGACGGTTTGACATTTTATCTCTGTTGTTAGGTAACAAAATGAAACTTTTTATGAAATTGCTTTTTTACCCGGTAAAAAATTGAGTACCCTTTTCCCGGATATTGTATATCCGCGATTTAGCTGGCAATAATTTTTGTGACGCTACTTCGGCTACTTCTACTAATTCCGGTGGAGTCAAAGAAAACTCGGAATCAGACATTTTTTACTTTATAGTAACTTCTAAACAACCACTAAGTTCAAAATTTTGAAATCAAATCACAAAATTAAATTGACAGGTGATTACTTTAAAAATTTCCTTAGCGACGCAGGTCTAATTGTCGCTATAAGTACAACATAGCCTACTAATTTCAAAATTCAATGATTTTAATAATATAATTTTTCAATATGAAATCCCGTCATAGAAAATAATTGTGTATTATACGCGGGAAAAATACTAGATTTTAACATTTTTCCCCTTGTATAATAAATAGCTATTATTGCAGTAATGGTTGACAAGCCTCTAAAGCTGTATAGATAACAATTTAGAAAATTATTGGTTTCGATATAAGTGCTCAGTTAGTCTTTGCGTAGAATTTCAAACATTTTAGCGGAGTAGGGTAGCAGTGAAATAGGACGGTAGTTCGAAACTTCGTCAGCAGACCCATTTTTATATATTGGAAATAACCTGGAGAGCTGCAGGAAAAGTACTTGATTTTAAACATATAATATTGATAAGCTAATAAGCAGGTAAATAATCATATTTAAACATTGAATAATGGTATTCTACAAGGTCATTCATTTTGTACCACTCAAGTATTTTGCTCATATAGGATCAAATTTACGTAGCACAAAGATAAAATGACTATCTTGTTGCTGCGTTTTGTCACTCGTTGCCCACGCAGTCGCCACACATTTTCGAATAATGGTTGGAAGTATGTGTACTTAGGTGTATACATCTAGCTCCTACTGCCAGCGACTAGTCGCTTCATCTCTTGGTTCAGTTTTTTCACTAGTGGTGTGGATTAGAGAACGCCACCAATGACATTGTTGCTGTGCTGTAGTTCCCATACGCTTAAATATGACGCACTTGCTGGAAATGGCGTGACTAAAAATGCAAGTAGTTCGGAAACAGTTCATTTATTGTGAAGGTACATATTAATTACGCGGCCACTGTAGTATTCACCACTATTGCGCAGCTTTCAATGTATCTTTTATCCATCTGAAATAGTAAGCTACGTTGGTGAAAGCAGTTGGGAATTCTTCAACTAGACATGTGTTCGTGGAATGATCAAAGTGCCCAAAGCTTGTTATTCCAACCTGAAAATAAAACGTTTAACCTTTTATTCCATCGATCGATTTGCAACATGATTGGTAATTGTTTTTAGACTCTACTTTGGTTTAGGGCGTTTGTAGGAACTTATTTTTGGGACTGCTGCCTCCTATACGCACAACAGTGGAACCGCGTTAGCATTTCTTCGTTGCTGTGAGTTATCTTATGGCAGTGTTAAGCTAATTGATGTCATAGAAAAGTGCTTCCAGGTCAGCCATCTGGCACCGTTCTCTTGTTAGTAAGCAAAGGTAGCGACACTGGACTATCGTTTCAAGGGTTGTCAGTTCTCCTGCTATTGAAGAGGGATTGCCTTTTATCTACTCATCTTCTGCACACGAAGATGGTGTGTTCTGCATCATCATTTTCACCACAGTACAGACAGGTAGGCACGTTCACTATTTCGAAGCGATGAAGGCTTCGTCTCTACCCAAACCCTGACATCAGGTATCTCACGTGATCTGAGTATGTAATTTGGTATCAAGCCATACGCCCACGTTTTTGATAGTTTTTTGTGGGACTACTTTAACACTTTCTGCCATAAAACTTATTTGGGGTAGAATTCGCCTTCGCGTTAAAAGAATTGTCCCCGTTTTTGTAGGTTCCAGCTTGGGGTGTAACGGTTTCACCATCCGATCGTATTTATTAAATCACTTCTCGATTATCATTTCATTAATCCCATCTCTAGCTTTTCTACTTGGAAAATTTTCCGCTTGGAGCGCTTGATGCGGAGTTCCTGATCTGCGATCTTCCTCGCGCTTTCTTTTCACCTGAGCCGCCGATCGAACAACGGCTAGAAATTTCTTCTCAGTAGCACAAGGTTATATACGTATAGCACCATGTGCTAGAATTTTCTAGAATGTGTGTCCGTATAGGACAAAAATGATTGGGGCCACCCCCTTTCTCTTTCCATTTCACTTTGCCTAGCCTTGGCCAATATTTTCACTGATGCATGTACCTTGGCAGCGCCATCGCCTTTAACTTCGCCTACAACTGGTTGTGAAGCCACTATATGGAGGTCACCCCTCATAACTGGGACCTCCCCTTCAAGCCCCTGGCCATCCTGGCTTCAGTCGAGTAAAAATGGACCAGCGAAAGATAAGTCGATAGCGTTATAGCAGCGCCAAAGATGTAAAACTTATTTTGTTATTTTTGTAAAACTGTAATGTAATGAAAATGCCTTTTTTTTTGTTAAATAAAATCTGTTAAATTTTTGTGTTCTGTTTGTTCTTCTATCCTCTAGCCATGCCATGGTCGACACACAGCTACACGCCTGTAGATGTCTTCATGCCACCGACTGAGCTACCGGAAGCTAATGGTAACCCCCTTTCTGTGATTGTGCAGAAAAGTTGGAATCTTCATTGCATTCCATCTTTTCTGGACTTTTTGCGGAAAGGAAGCGTTACATAAATTGGCACCCGCAACGTGAGGCTTCGATAGGTGTTTGGCTTTGTCGACAAGTGGTTTGCTAGTGGAAGATTGGCAGACAGAACATAGTTTTCAAAATTCTTTACAATCTTTGGCAGCATTTATATTTTTAATTGCTTTTGGTACTCAAATTTCTAATTCCTTAATCATCCTTACTTTTTGCTTAATGTTTAAAATTTTTATCAAAAGATTAAAATTTTTCCACCTGTTTATTTCATAGGCATACTATTAACTTTTAAATTGTCTTGTTTAGTAGTCAGCGAGATCATTGCCAGAATTTTTTTCTCACATACTACTATAGTTTTTATTTACTGCTGGGGACAGTTATAACTTTTTTCTCATTGTACTTTTGAGATTGATGATATTTTGATATTTTTTTTGTTGTTGAATATTGATAGTCTGGGGACTTTAGGTTTCCCAGCATTTTTGTCGAATATCATCAAACTTTTGATTGAGGTTGTGACTATTGTTGTTGATAGTTTACATATTCTTATATGCTTTTCATTTTTGATCACTAACCTCTTAGTTTTTGAAAGTATTTCTTCATGTTCAGTTTTTTGATTTTTTGAGACTTTTCATGTACGCATATATAGCCTAATTGTTGGATCTCTGGTGTACTGATATAGCTCTCATGATGTTTGGTACGTAGGAAATTTACTTTCAAAATTATTTTTGCCTTCCCCAAATGTATTTACTTTTTGAATTTTTGACTGTACTTGAACTTTTGATCATTTGTTTTCATTCTGACGGCAATAATCTACTGACTAGAGTTATCTGGAGTAAATCATTTTGCGATTTATCCATTTTTCTGAATTATATGAAATTGATATTCATAATTTTTCGTATATTTTGGGCGGTTTACTTTTTTTCAAGTATTGACACTTGGACATAGTACTTTGATACTTACCTTTCTTTTTTTTCAAGAAACAAATGATGTTTTTCTTGACTATATTTTTGCTACTTTTCAATGAGGGGGTGACTCCTAAATCATTTTTACCTATACAAAGACACACATACTCATTTATGGTAATTAAATGTCAACTTGTTGTTTAAATACATAGTATATGTTCCTCAGTAACTATTGTAGTAATTTTGTCTCTTGTTTGGAGCATAGGTTTTCATAATTTTAATGTTTTATAGTTTTATCTGGCATATTCTTTGGGGGAAATTAGAACATTAGTGTCTGATTTTCCACTGGATTAACAGGACTTGAACGTCTCTGTACTTTTTTAATGTATGACAGATATAAAATAATTTTTTTTAAGATTCGGCTGCTCCTGTTTTTGTATTGAAACTGTTTGTTTGTATTGTTAGTTTTTTATAGTGTTTTGGATCCTTTTATATTTCCGCTCAATCGAAGGGGGCGAGTTTTTCGATCTGTACATTGGAGCGAGTAGGTTTTCCTATATTTATTTCCTAGTACAGATGCGAACGGAGAAGAATTTCCTTTGATAATGAATAAACTTATTTGCTGTAAGAGGCAGCTGAATGTTTACTTTGGACATTTAACATCGTTGATCTTTCAACCTTTTGAAATATTACAATCAGTGCAATACTCATATTTCCGCTCAATCGAAGGGGGCGAGTTCTTCGATCTGTACATTGGAGCGAGTAGGTTTTCATATATTTATTTCCTAGTACAGATGCGAACGGAGAAGAATTTCCTTTGATAATGAATAAACTTATTTGCTGTAAGAGGCAGCTGATTGTTTACTTTGGACATTTGTCATCGTTGTTCTTTCAACCTTTTGAACTATTACGTCAGTCCACAATTTACAAAATTTACAAGTCATAATTATTTTTCTGATTCCAATTTAATGTGTATACTTCATCTTTTAAATATTTCATTTTTCTGAGTGTACTCAAAATTTAAATTGAATTCCCGATCAAGATCATGTGACAAATACTTTGTATAATATTTTATAATGTTTTTATGTGTATATTTTGTGAATTTCTTTTACATACTTACGTACCTCTATTTTTGAAGTCTATTACTTTTGAAGTTTTTGATAGTATCTTCTTTTTGAATTCATTATAACTTTCTTCGAGAGCACAGACTTACATTGATTTTTGGTTCAAACTTTTGATGTTTGTTTACATATTTTTGAGTGGTTTTGAACTTTGACAGTATTTTGTAGTCTGGATAGTTACATAGATTCGTTGCGATGTATGCCTTGAGGGTCTTGTACTATCCACAGTTTCTTTAATTGAAAGTGTTTTCTTCATATGCATTTTATTTTCTTCTTGAGACTTGTCATATATGCTTTCCGCCTAGTTGCAAATCTGTGCGTATTGATAAACTCTTGAAACCTCTGGCGTATAAGTAAAACTCACTTTTGATATAGTAATTTATGTCTCAGTTCAATTCAATCAGTTCAATTTGATTTGAAGTAATTGTCAATTCCTTCTTGAGATTTTTCATATATGCTTTCAGCCTTTGTGCACATTTGTGCGTATTGCTAAGTCTTGAGCTTGGTTGCGACATTGCTTTCATGTTTCGCTATAGATTTTGAAATATCTGGTGATTTTGCTTTTGCATTATTGCATTTGTTTTGATAGTCTGCTCTCATAATTTTTTTTTTTCCGGCTTCTTATTTCTTTCAATTTCTGTCTTGACTTGAAGTAATCGCCAATTCTTATAGATTCAGTATAGTAATTCTCTTTTCATACTTTACACTGGTAAATTATTATAGTTTTTCTAATCTTGTAATATTTCATATTTGAACTTAACTTTCATTTTACAATGTTATGGTTATTCTCAGTGTAGACTTTGAAGTGCGCTGATGATATCAGTGATCTACATGAGAATATTCCATAGACTATAGACATTCTTGTCTAGGGCTTTGGAATGCACCTATGGTGACCCTAGAAAGTTGTCTTTCTCTCATATTTTTGCTTTAAATCAAAATTCGAATTCTTACCTATCATATTTATTTCTATTTCTTGTTCACTAGATTGTTTTTTTATAACTCCAATTTTGCACCTACATATATCGTAGACTTTTGCATACAACTTTTGCTTGCGGCATTACTCTCATGTATCATGATTTATTAAAATATCTTGTGATTTTCGTTTCGCTATTTTGCATTTTACATATGCTCACTTCGTTTCTCAATTATTACTCATGAAACTTTTAATATTTTGCTTACTTTTAAATTTTTTTGAGAACCCTTTATAAAATCATGCTCATATAGCTTTAATATTTCCTTTCACTTTATGATTTTAACACTATTAGATATACGGTTGCACTTGTGTTGCACTTAGTTTTTTTTGGAAATTTATTTTGCTCTTTTCTATATTGCATTTTTTTTTTGGTCTGGTTCTTATGTTGTCACATGACCCGAAAATTTTGATTGAGCTAACTCTTGAATTTTAGTTAATTGATTGAACTTAAGCTATATTTTGACTTTGAAAATCCTACTTCAATATTTCATGAATGTCTCTTATATACTTTAATTCTCTAAAAATATTTTAAATTATTTTGTAGTCTTACAGACTGCTGGCGCCCGACAATTTTTTTGTGGAATCAGAACTGCACTTAGTTAACATCTTTTTTGATTAAAATACCTTCGTGATCAAGTTTTCATTGGTTTAGTACTTGTAAATTGTTTTGTTATATGACTTGAATTCCTAATGGAATTTGTTAATTTCTTTTGATTTTCATATTTTGAAAATAATAATGCACTGTTTTTTTTCAATATTGGATATTGGTTTAAAATAAATCACTGTATATGATATTCTTTTTGGGTTTGGATTATTGCGAGATAATCTGGCAATTGTTTTGAGAAAGATTATTATTTTTTTTAGTACCTCTTATGGTTTAGGTACTTACTTAGTTTTGAAGTTTTTAGTAGTCAGTCGTGCATTTTGGATGCCATTGTGATTCGTGCTTGGACTACTTCTGAAGCTTTTGGTTTATTATTTTTCTCGTCCTAGGTGTGACGATGTTTTATGTTTTGGGTTTTTCATCATATGATGATAGTTTTTTTTAAGTGCAACTTCGCTGTACTTTTCAGCGAGTTGGTGCTATAACCATCCCTCTTGTTTGGTAGACTTGAGGCTATCCCTTTTTCTTCCAATTCTCTTCTAACATTTTTGTTTCTACCTTACTTTTGCTACTTGTTATCTGGTCGAATGGTTGTACATTTGTCCTTCCGTGATAACTTTCAATTTCCTTGTTAAAAAAAAATTCTTGAATGCTTCTTCGAATTTTTTTCTGGTTAAGTTGGGGCGAGTGTAACGGTTTCACCGTCCGATCGTATTTATTAAATCACTTCTCGATTATCATTTCATTAATCCCATCTCTAGCGTTCCTGATCTGCGATCTTCCTCGCGCTTTCTTTTCACCTGAGCCGCCGATCGAACAACGGCTAGAAATTTCTTCTCAGTAGCACAAGGTTATATAGCACCATGTGCTAGAATTTTCTAGAATGTGTGTCCGTATAGGACAAAAATGATTGGGGCCACCCCCTTTCTCTTTCCATTTCACTTTGCCTAGCCTTGGCCAATATTTTCACTGATGCATGTACCTTGGCAGCGCCATCGCCTTTAACTTCGCCTACAACTGGTTGTGAAGCCACTATATGGAGGTCACCCCTCATAACTGGGACCTCCCCTTCAAGCCCCTGGCCATCCTGGCTTCAGTCGAGTAAAAATGGACCAGCGAAAGATAAGTCGATAGCGTTATAGCAGCGCCAAAGATGTAAAACTTATTTTGTTATTTTTGTAAAATTGTAATGTAATGAAAATGCCTTTTTTTTGTTAAATAAAATCTGTTAAATTTTTGTGTTCTGTTTGTTCTTCTATCCTCTAGCCATGCCATGGTCGACACACAGCTACACGCCTGTAGATGTCTTCATGCCACCGACTGAGCTACCGGAAGCTAATGCTAACCCCCTTTCTGTGATTGTACAGAAAGGTTGGAATCTTTATTGCATTCCATCTTTTCTGGACTTTTTGCGGAAAGGAAGCGTTACAGGGGGACCTGTCCTTAAGCCATGTACTGGTTTTTGTTATGGCTCAGTTGGATCCTTCCACTAATTCCCCTACACTTGCGCCACAATCATCACATAGAGATCGATTGCATAATCGATGGTAGTTGCGTGATCAGTAAGATCCAGTTCTAGTATGCCACTGTATACCACATTCATAGATTTGGTCCCAGAATGGAACCTTGAGACATTAGTAGTAGTGGTGGTGTGCAGACGAGGCTTGACGTCGATCATGCACCGGTCTGATCCGTAAGCGATAAAGCTGTACTTACTAATGCGATGTTATCTCCTTTGTTCATGAACAGGGGACCACCAGAGTCACCCGAACAGGTTCCAGAATATCCATTATGCGTACAAAAAAAGCCCTCGTCCAAGTAAACCTCTATGGATTTGCAATCATTATAGCTCATAGTCTTGGTCTCAGTCATTTTAAGTTGATCTGTATCCTGTCCTAATTCAGTTATACCATAGCCAATAGATATAACTGGCATCCCACTGGGAACATCCTTGTCTTCATTGAGTACGACGGCTGAAAGTAGGTAATAGCGTGCTGAAGTCATTCAGAGAAATTCAAATATCACTGATAAGGTAACGTGTGCGAGAGAGAAGCGCGAAAACGGTGCAATACGAATGTTAGAAAGAATGCGCCGAGCCCTCCAGAGGGATGAAACGTCTTATGGCGAACTGGCAACGCCAAGGTCACCCTCTCCTGGCAAAATCTCAAATTCTCTATCTTCATATAAATGTAAAAATATCAAATAAGGTGTTTGTTTTGGCTAAAATCCATATTATCCATGCTGATACTTTCCGAAATATTTCGTTAAAAATGAGTATAAAATATAATGCAACACTATCAGTAGCTGTGATGGTATACGTAAGATGTATTGTGACTATTATGGGAGAGCAAACTAATTAAAAGTGACTAGCTTATTTACAAAGAATGTTTAAATTATATTAGTGTTTTCTGTATTGTTTCAGAATTATCGAGAAGCAATTCAATGAGATGAGACGCCTGTGGTCTCAGTAAAGCTGGAATATTATATGAAAATACAATTATGCAGAAATTCATAATCTTAGATTAAATCCAGAAAAATCAAAAGAATCTCCAAGTTCTTTATATGGGCGAAAGCAGCCCCCTCATACAAACATGTAAGGTTGGCTCTTAATCTAATCGAATTACTTGGTAGCACATGACTTGGATAATCAAAATCGAGAAACTATTTTGAAGGATGACAAGCTGGTGTTTCTATTTACTTAGACCGAATTTCGAAATTGTTGCGTTATCCCCTCACTACCCTATTTATACTAAATGTGAGTTCATCAACTTCCTTACCCGTTTCAGTTTTCCACGGTTCAGAAATAATGATTAAAGCAATGTCATTCTTCGAGAAACGAGCATCTTTTTCTCCTGTTGCAGGATCTGTTCTCGCATGGTATTCAGGATGTGCAATAACTCTCTGTGCTGGTTGCTTTTCTCCTTTCCAGTTTACCAAATAAATATCATTGGACCTAGAACACATATAAGTAATCCATACACATGAACTACATTATAGATTAACTTATCGAATAACTTTGTAGACCACAACAATTCCTGATATTAGTAACTTCTTTGAATTTGTTTATGGCAGAGTAAACATATTCGAAGACACATGCTTTCTGAAAACTAACCATGATGTAGTGGGTCAGCACTTATGGTACAATGTTGAAGACTCGTTTCAGTTTTCCGAAACGGAATAACGTAAGAGAAAAAGAAAATAATACTCACTTTATACAATGTGCTGCAGTTATAACAACAAGGGGGTTTACTAATGTTCCACCGCAAGCAAAATATTTTCCACCAAATTTTACGTAGACTCTCACCTAAAACAACATGTTTTAATACCGGTCATATCGATTCATTTAAATTTGTTGTAATCCACCGTAGGTCTGTATAATAGCACTGCTGTCCTATCTTTCCTGGGTAAGACAGACCACGATGTTGTGGGGGTTAGGTTTCGATCAGTATTGGCTGTGGCAGCAGAAGCTCGCCCAAGCTGCAAATTTTGGCATTACGGACATGCCGACTGGCTCAAATATATTTTCTCCACCTTTTTTTAGAGATGTTTTTTTCGCTGACTGTGTGTAAAAAATGCCAAGGAACACCTTATCTGTTTGAAAAAACTGTACGCAATTATACCTTACTTCAGGTGGTAGTCAATTTATGGGGTTGAATCAGTGCGACTGCACACTTTTTTGGTCCACAAGATAATTAATTCATGAAAAACAAGGAAAACATTTCATGATTAGACGAGGTCGCTCACATTAGGCAATACCCGCGTTATTTTACCTGCGAGGTCGATAGCATCTATTTATTTTCTACTTATAGTCCTGCCAATGCCTTTCCTAGCTCATCCTAGCTTCTATATAAGCTAAAGTATTGTTTACCAACGGCCAGCATAGTCTAGTCTCTCCACCCAAGCATCATAGCGCCTCGCAGAAATCAATCGTTATAATCGTTATTTATGTATCTAGGAGACACATATTGACTATGACATACTTTTAAAAAATAGAGCAGAGCAAATAAAATTGAAAATAGTATGTTCACCGCAACTATTTCGTGTATCACGGGTAGTTTGACTAGCAAAAAATAAATAAGAGTAATTCCCGTGGCCGCATATTGTATTCAATACAGCTTAGGCGTACCTGGTGCTAAGGTTATTTTACCGCCCTATGGCATAAATTCTGTCCATAAAATACACTGCTCCATCCGACCATAGATAAAATAATTTGTGGATCAAATCAGCTACTCGTACTGTAGCCAGCTCATTTATTTTATCCATATGTTCAACTGTAGACCTATACTACAAATTACTCCAAGTTACTACCAAAAGCAACAACCTTTTAAATGTGGCTTTAGGATGATCAAGCTGTTTTCATTTTCTCATTTATCCATTGTTGTACTAATCCGGCCATTGCATCAACAAAACACATAATTTCTGCTGTATACAAGGAACTCTGTACCCCTAGTGGCGGCAGATATTTCATGAACTCTAATTTAGTAACTATTACTCCTAAATCCCAAATTTTCCAAAATACCGAAGAAAAGCGTGACCAGACCACAACTTCAAAAAGTAGCTATAACAGATCACAGATATTAAGAAATAACGATATCAGCAATCTGTATGTACCACTCAGAAATCTATTTTCGAGGGCTGGTAACTATAAGCGTGATCTTGCTTTGAAAACAACTATTTTTCGTGATAGAAATGAGGCGGGATGGTAGCAAGGCACATGTGGGGCGCAGTGTTGCCAACAAAGAGAATGTATTATTTACTGGGCATCCATTTTTTAAGCTCAATGACCTAGTCACTTCCAATACCTACATCTGATGGTTCACGTACTGGACGTTAGTCTTCGCTGGTTTTGAATGCAATTTTGAACCATACTGAGATTATTCGTCCGTAGCAGAAATTTCAATGTCAAGTTTTTTGTCATTCATTCCGAAAAATATTAAACGAGAGTCATTCTTTCCATACTATCCAATAAATATAAAACTGGGCATCTTCTGTTGGAGACAATTAAACCATCTTTTGAGTAAAACCATTAAAAGTACTCACAAAAAACGGGTAGTCCTGTGGGTCTACAACTTCGCCATTCACAATCCTGGGATGAACATTAAGATTTTTGCATTCAACCTGCAAAGATAAACACCCAGGTGAAATACAACACAAAAAGGCGTCGATTGACTTCATACTTCCTAGGCCTTCGTTGAAATTCGAAATATTTTCTAAGCGAAACTTGGAGGTATGTTCATTCAAGCACGATGTGTCGTGAACCTTTACATCTCAAACCATATAAAATAGATCTTTCAGTGGTAGACGTATAGAAGCTATGTGTGATATTAGTGCTTTTTTAATAACAGAACATGTTTCACTGATGCTAACATTCACAATAATTCACCTCCTACAACTCTGAACCCCAGTTTTCAACTACAAAAAAAATTGAGCTGGGATATTCGAATCGCCAAAACTGGATGTTTCAGCAATTTTTTTTCTTCCGTAGCTCCGCCGTCACATTGATGGTGGGTGGCACATGTCGGGGTACCTCGTTGGCGAGTTACTTATTACTCGCGAGAGAGACGCTACTTGTCAGTGGGATATTGAGGTCAATAATGGTGATTTATCCAATTAGAAGAGAGAAATAATACATTATAAGAAAGTTTTTTCCTAATTAAGCCTAAGCAAGCTGTATCTCCCACAGGTGTTGAGATCGCCATGTAGTCTAATCATATAAGACGAAAATACCCCTGGTTTACGAAATGATTGTTAACTCTGGTATTTATGGGACCTGCAAAATGAGACCACACGTAAAAAGATTCCACTAATAGCAAAACAGTTATGGCCAAAAACCGAGGCAAACTGCAGTTTTTGGCACATGTTGTCAATGCGACGATGGTTTCTCACAGATATTTGAAATTCTTCAAACTCGTAGGATCCGTAGTTCTAAATAACCACAACAAAATTGGAATAGATTGGTGAAGTAGTTTTTGAAAATTTTTCTAATTCTTTATCCCAAAACACCTGTTTTCCGGCCATCACTACTAGTTTATTGAGCAATATACAGGGTAAGTTCGAAGATCATTTTATAGCTAAATACACTAGTTTACCTTGCTAATATGAATTGCGAACCATTCCGGAAGATAAATGTTATTTTTATGCAAAAAAGGATGGGTTACGTTTTTTCTTCTAAACAAATTGAAACATTACGTATTTGTGAGTAATTCGCAACAAAAGATGATAGACGCATTCGCTTTGTTTTAAAATGTGTATAGTAATGTATGTTTTTCGAATATCCTAGCGCATTTGTTCAATAACTCACAAATACGAGAGGTTTGAATTTGTTTATAAGAAAAAAACGAAACCTTTGTTTTTCCCATAAAAATAACATTAATCTGTCGAAATGGTTTGTGATTCATATCGGAAAAGTAAACACACGAGTATTTTGCTACTAAAGGCTCTTTACACGAACTCTGTACATTGATCAATAAACTAATAGTGACGGACGGAAAACAGGTGTTTTGGGATAAACAATTAGACATTCTAGAAAAAACTACTCGACCAATATACTCCAATTTTGTTGTTGTTATTTAGAAGTATGAATTTTACGGTTTTGAGGAATTTCAAATAGTTACGTGAAATTATCGTCGCACAACAAGTGCCAAAACCTGAGTTTTGCCCCGTTTTTCGGCCATAACATGTTTGCCTTATTCGAATATTTTTACGTGTGATCTCATTTTGTAGGTCTCATAAATACCTAAAAATTTTGTATGAAAAGTTTTTTCGTTCGTGTCAACACTTTCGATTGAATCCCAAAAAACACGTTTTCTCATTCTTTGTTGCCGAATAAAAAGTATTCCCACAAAAATTGGTGTACCCATTTTATGCGTCCATGTTTTAAATACCCCATTGAACAACTTGCAGCAATAAAACCAGACTCTAAAATTATTTCAGGGCAATTTGCTAATATGATTAGACTAATGCACAAGATCCTTATCTTGGCCACATTTTACAAGTTATATAGAATATCAAGTTACCAGGTGTCAAACTGACAAACTGAAGTTGAATAGTGCAACAGCCAGTAAATTTGATTTAGGCTGGTTCATCGAAGGGGAGAAGGTATACATGTTTTCCTTTCTTTTTTTCTCAATCGATCTGAAATATTTCGAAATATGAACTTCAGATGTCAAACTGACATAATGAAATTGAGGGCATACAATTTCAAATGACACTATTATCAATCTAGATGTTTTTTTATCCCCCATGCCTCTTAAAATGAGATATTATGTTTGTTGGATGTTATGTGACATGTACCACGAAAAAACATGTCACCCATTTCCGTCGATCTGTCTGTCTGTCCGCTAATCTTTGGACCGTCTATAGCATGGACAGTTCTTCTCGGATTTGGATGGACTTTTTAGAGACCAGAGACGAAGAAGTATTTGAAAATCGTTCTAGTGACGATGTAGAAAAATGACAAAAGCCAAAATAATAAAACTCGCTCAAACCCTATTTTTTGACGTTTCAAAAGATCCAAACCAATTTTGAAAAGCTCTTTCGGGGTATACATTGAGGGGTGGGGAGTTGTAAGGGTGGTGGGTGAGGCTAAGTCTTTGATGCTAGTATATCAATATATTTCCAGGCCCTGGTAACTGTATGCACCTATTAGGTATATTTCACATATTTCCCCGTATATTTTTCCTCAAAGCTTGGTAAGAGAAATACGCATCTCTGAACACATTGGAGGCTTGTAAATATATTTGACAGTGGATCCGACGGATTTATGCTTGCAGGTTGCAAGCGACTCTGTGATGTGGCATGCATGTACGAGGTGGATGTGACATCTAAGTATACGAACATTATGCAATGAGGTCTTGACTTTGTGATATAATATTATATAAAGTAATATTTATAACAAATAAGTACGTATCACGTTGACAATCAGTTTTGCATAAGACCTCCGAAGAAATTGGGGTGTCGTATAGAGATACGCTCACTGCTGCTCTACGTCTTTTTGGTGCTATTCCACTACATAGAAAATTGTACCAGAAGTTCTTTCCAGGGCGTGGGAAGTATAGAGTCAACCTATTTGACGCCATTTTCTGCTTTCATCATTCACCTAACAAGAGAAATACTACTTCTTCTCTGATTTCTCAGGTTAGCAGTGAAAATAAGATGTATCATCCATAGAAGGATTATGTCTATGGAGATAAAGAGTAACAAAGGTGTGACTATTTATATTATTACATGTATTAATTTTTAAGACACGAGGTTTGCTTTGGGGTAGTTTTAAATCATTAGGTTTATGCACTTTGAGATTACTTTATCCAGAATTACTTATACTGAGCAGCCAAAGTTTTGTACGTTTTATGAATCTTTGCTGAAATTACTTAATGATGAAACTATGTAACAAGATGGCTTCAGTATCGGGACATTGACATTTTGGAGTGGCATGAGACTTTTGAAATTGATTGGATAATTTTTGAAAACCAGATTCACTCTTTATTTCTCAAAATATGAAGATCACTTACGACTCAGCAAAATATCATTAGATGGGATGGACAAAAGAAAGGTAAAGCTCAGGGTAACTATACCGTTGCAGAGAAATAAAGATACTTACCTGCAAGTAAATGCAGATTATCAAAAGGCCTCTCAGGAACATCATCTTTGCACTGAATGATATTCCCTCTCTCGGTGCTGTAAAATATATACAAATTTCATATCGCTATCATCACTTCGTGAGCACGAGGACATTACCAATTCAAGCATTTTTCCAAACGATTGCCAAAAATTTCACACGCTTTGCACGAAAAAACTATGCAGCTAGTTTACCTCGTGACTTGAACTCGTGATAGCTTCCCGTGATTAAATGTTTTATTTAGTACATTTTCTTTGGTGACTGTCTGGAAAGATTTTTTCATTTTCATTTCTATCCTTAGAAAAACATTTGTTGACCTGCACTGTTAGTTACATACTCTTTTACATTATTCCTTGATTACTATACAACTCAGTTATCACATGAAGCAAAAACCACTGTAAATGGCAACACCGATTCGATGATACCTGCCCTATAGTGTGTGATATAGTGAAGTGGAGGACTGAAGGCCGGGCAGTATGCCAACTTTCGCCACGTCGTTAGGCCAGCAGTACTTAGCCATTGCGCAGACCTTATTGATGCATTATACTAGCATTTCTTTTAATGATATTTGATTTGGTTGCGGTTTACTTACCAAAAACAATAGCTTGTCACACTGATATGCTGGAATGGATTGATACTTTTGAATGAATACTCAATAGTGAAAACTGGTTGTCTTAAAATATTTCTTTCCGAATGCAGTGTTCAAGAAGGATAGTACCAAGACAAGCAACAACACACATTGACCATTTTCAACTACAATCAGTAGCGTAGCAGCTTATCATTCATTATAACCTGTCTATGCACGCCACTGGTTTTTGTAGTATACTTGTCCTGGTATTACCCATGTTAGATTCTTCTGTTTGTTGACAATTACAACTAGTAGTTGTGGAACCAATAAATTTAAGTAAAAGTAACTTCAGAAATTATCGGCATTTTTTCTGAAAATTCTTTAGCATTTCGGATTAATTGAGCTCAACAAAGAAGATATCACAAAGCGTTAGTAACCTCGGACACGAAGTATGAGGACGAAGTGTACGTTCAACACTGTTTGTGCTATGCCAAGTATTTTCCAAAGAGTCGGACTGCCTTTGTGGTGTAGAGGCTTGTATTGAATCCAGAGGTGGTGGTCACCTTCAATACTTCCTTCAGGTTGAATGTTATATCATTTATTTAGCATTATTTTTTGTTCCCAATGTTATGTCCCCATAAATTTAGAACTAGCTACGTAAGTTTTATCAAATATAATGTTTATTGTTGTTCTATTTAATTATTATAAGCGTTTAATTTTTTTTTAATAAACGATTTTTTAAGTTTCTTTACCTGTAAACAAAAATGAGTATGCCGGCAATACCAGTGGCGCGCACGGAAAGGTTTGATGACTGAGGTTTTTTTAGATGCCATCTGGTGTTGCCAATATCAAGCTTCTCGGTGTTTTTAGAATAGGGGAGGCTAAGCCTTTTCATAAGAATATTCAGGACTTTACCACAAATGTTCAAATCTAAATATCTCCAAAACGAGGGACATGACAAAAGTTCCTACAGGGACAGAATTTATAGAAAATTAAATGGTATTTCATAAAATGCACTTCTTCCCTCCGAAAGTGACGTAGAAAGTATTACCTACTAAGGGTTCAGGTACACCCTGGTTTAGTTTGGGCCAGAAAACTCGGTGTGCTTATTGCCTATGATGTGCTGGCTAAACGTCTAGAACTTTAACCCAGTATCTTTACTCGTACCCGCTCCGTAGATATAATTTTGTTCCAATTTCGTAAATGAAACTTCATGATCCTGTATTTGGGTAGGTTAGCATTTTCAGACTTAAATTCATAGGAACTTCGTTGTTATTTTTGGATGTACTTTCTACCCTAATCACTTCGGCACGTCTTTCTGAAACACCTGGTACTATACTGGGTGATCCAGAAATAGAGTAGGTAGACTGGCTGCAGATCAATCAGATAAAATCAACATGACCTCTGTAAAAGTTCTCTAGTTTTCGAGGTATTTCGACTTTCAAGCTTTTTCAAAAAATCCCTACTTTTTGCTCCTTTTTTTGCCTGTTATGCCTATAAAGAAAGCTTCTGTTTTTATTTTCCTGGGCTACCATCAACAGCTGGTTGAGACAACCGAGTATTCATTTCATTGAAAACTTGCACGGTATGCTAAAATAATTAATTAACCTGTACTAAAGTTTGACTAATTACTCTTAAAAAAACAAACTGAATCGGCAAATGAGCTTGAAATTTTAAATTTGCCTAGATTTTTTGCAACATCCTACTACCTATCCTTTCGGAAGATGTGGTTACAGAATCATGGGTGCAGTAAGGGAATACGAGGGATGTCATATAGAAACATAGTAGGCCGCGCGGATCGAACGTCAGTACTGCATCTTAACCTCACTCTTTAGTAAACTTAAATTCAAAGTTTCACAACAATACGTGCAGTGTTCTCACTACATTAAATTTTTAAGTGTCACCAAGTCATTAGAAAAATGGAACTCAACCGAGAACATCTTCGCGCCATAATTTATTACAACTTTCAGAGACAATTATCGCAGCAAGAATGCCTTGCAACGACGCGCCACATGAGTCGACAATTTCTCGTTGGTATTGAGAATTCAAACGTGGATGGGTGAGTCTTAGCGACGATCCCAGGGTGGGTGCACCAAAAACGCCAGTCACCCAGGAAAACGTCGATGATTTGCGCAAACTCATCATTGAAGATAGACATGTGACATATCGCGAGATTGAGGCATCCTTGAAGATCTCAAAGATCGCAATTAAAAAAATTTTACATGAAGAATTAGGAGTAAGAAAATTAGTTTCTCGTTGGATACCCCACCTGTTGATTGAAGAGCAGAAAGCAGCCAGGATTAATTGGTGTCAAAAAACGCTTGACCGTTCCAATTCCGGAAACCCAAAAAATGTGTATAGCATTGTTAGTGGTGATGAATCGCGTATTTACTGTTATGAATCAGAAAATAAACGACAGTCGGCTGTTTGGGTGTTCCAAGGTGAAGAGAAGCCAACAAAAGTCATCCGTTCTCGAAGTGTTTCGAAAAAGATGGTCGCGACATTTGTGTCAAAAGCGGGTCATATTGCAACAATTCCTCGTAATGAGCAAAGAACTGTTACTGCGGATTGGTATACCACCATTTGTTTGCCAAAATTCAACACCGAGCTTCGAAAAATCAACCCCAAAAGAAGAATCATCCTCCACCAAGACAATGCAAGCTCGCACACAGCCCAGAAAACAAGGCAGTATTTAACGAAAGAAAACGTGGAATTATTGGAACATCCTCCATATAGTCCCGATCTAAGTCCTAAAGATTTCTTTACTTTCCCGAAAATTACAAAGAGACTGCGTGGTCAAAGGTTCTAGTCACCAGAAGAAGCAGTTGGCGCATTCAAAAATGCCGTTTTGGATCTGCCAGCAAACGAGTGAAATAAGTGCTTCGTAAATTCGTTCGAGCGAATGCAGATGTGTATTAATCTTCGTGGAGAATACTTCGAAAAACAATAAACTCATTTAAAACTACCTACCGTGTTGTTTTATTTCCATATGCAAAACTTAAAAGACATCCCTCGTATCTTTTCCCTAGAAGACAGATTGGCTAGATTGAACAAATTTTGTGCCCCCTACACTCCCCACATCTGAACACTCTGAATTTTTTACTATGGATGCTTAAATCACAAGGTCTATGGAAAACCAGTTCGATCAGCCGATGAACTGCGTCATCGAATCAGTCAAGTAGCACGCAAAATATTCGATTTAAGTTTGAGATGTTTAAAAGGACATTTTTTAATAAGATGCAGGTTGTGTATAAGAGTCGGTCGTAGACATTTTGAAAATCTGTTGTGAAAGTAATAATAATAATGATAAAAATAATAGTTTATTTTAATTTTCGTTTAATTAATCTATGACGTTAATAATGTATCCTAATTCTTTATTTGATTTGAATATCGTAAAAATCAATGGAAATAAAAATAATGCAACCTAATGTTCTGTTCATTATTTGGATGCCGGCATATAACATTCTAGACATTTGCTAAAATAAAAATCTATTATAGCAACTACAAAGTTGTAATTTGGACACAAAAGACAGCAGCACTTATAATTTTTTATTTGTAGTATTTCGAAAGTATTGCGACTTCAACAACAAAAGTTGGAGTTATGCAGTTTTTAGTGAAAAAAACCTACAATTGTTATACTACTTTTGAAAGACTTAGTTTTTAAGGTCATTTGCTGACTTAGTCTGGAACATTTTTTTCACAGTAATTAGTCAAACTTCAGTAAAGGTTTTTGCGTTGAAACCAAATGTAATAATTTAGTTTTTTTTAGCATACCGTGCTAGTTTTCAATGAAATGAATACTGGGTTGTCTCAACCATTAATTGTAGCTCAGGAAAAAATCATAGGTTAAAAGTTCTTTATAGCGGTAACAGGCAAAAAGTAGGTTTTTCCATAAAACTTGAAAGCGGCAATATGGCGAAAACTAGAAATTTTTTACTATCGTCCTGTTGATTTTATATGATTGATCTGAAGCAAATCTACCTGCCGTGTCACTCTGGCATGTTATTTTTGGGAGACCCTGTATGTGATTCATTCAAGTAGTCCTACCGCATACTATAGGATTTACTATTCCAACCCTAATAAAGAGTCTCTTTGTACCACCCATGAACAATAGAACTAACCACGGCACGTGCTGACTACCATAAATCATCTTTACATGACAGGGCTATAAAACTGGAATGGAATTCTGTCTACCGTAATTCTTGCGGAGTTTCGGAGTTTTCTGGCGAGTTCAAGGTGCATGAGGAATAGGGCTTCGTGTCCCCGAGAAATATCTTGGAGGGATTTTTTCGTAGGCTGCACGGTTTCCCAATGCGATGGCGGCGGGAAGACCCTGAATGTGTAATGAAGGAAGATGTAAGACAAGAGTTATTATAAGGGTGCCATGGGAGCATGTTCGGAATTTTTAGTTCGCTTGCATCGCGCGCGTATCCGTTTTGTATTCTTTCTGGCGACTTGCGTATGTACAGCGGAAACATGAATGAGTGTCGACAACTTCTTTTGGTTTGAAGAGAGGCATGTGAAAGAGAACAATATATAATAATAATAACAATGATAATAATAATAATAATAATGATAATAATTATTATTATTAATAATATAAATAGATGCAGGCACCATTAAAATAGAAAGGGGAATATTCCAAGGGGACGCATTAAGTCCGCTATGGTTCTGTCTGTCGCTGCGACCCCTGACAACTATGTTTTATAGGCAGCGCAAAGGTTATATACTCCCACACTCAGACAACAATATTAGCCACCTTTGGTACATGGATGATTTAAAGCTGTACGCAAAGTCTAAAAAACACCTCGACGACCTTCTGACTTGTGTCACCCGATTCAGTCGCGACGTAAAAATGTCATTTGGGCTGGACAAATGTAGGACCAGCGGGATGGAGAAGGGCCAGTGGGTACATCACGCGGGATATGAAGTTGCTGAGCGGAAAACCATCGCCGGAATGGAAGAGGGAGAAAGGTACAAATACCTTGGTTATCTGCAAGCAAGAGGCCTAGATCATACAGCAGCAAAGCAGACAATAAGTGACACCTACATTAGAAGAATCCGGTCGATACTGAAGACTAAACTGTCTGCCAGAAACAT